TCTCTCAATTAAAACGTAACAGTAATTAATCCCAATTTATTAATTATTTACTTTTAACAGATTCTGAATTAAATCCATTGAAAGCTAGGGTCATAAGATGGCTCACATTTGAAGCGAATGACTTGATATATGTTTGGCACCACTCGGACGGTGTGAACCCCGACTGCGATTCCGAAGACTTTGTGACGTGAACTGGCCTTTCATTGAAACAACACTCGTGGATGAGTATACCTGTGACCTGTAATTACAATGTATGTGTGTTATATTTGGTAGACATAGATATCTAATTATTAATAATCAGTAGTTATGTCATTGACAAACGAGAGAGAGAGAGGGGGGGGGAACTCTCTAAAAAGTTTCATAGTAAGAGGTTGTATTGTATGTAGAGATAAAAATACCGGTCAGATTAGGTATGCGTTTGCACTGTCCGTCTCGTCCTCTAAACCTCCAGCCATGGAATGGACACTGAATACAGTCGTCGCCCGATTCAGTCACCACATGTCCGCCGACACCGAGATATAGTTTTTATATTAACTTAGTTATGCAAAAGTTATCAATCTCAAATGTTTTTGCTCGCATATTATTTAGTTTTGTCTAGACACTAATTGTTATCATGAACACATTGCTCATCAGTATTAACAAAATATGACAATTGATAATAAAATATATAAAATAAAATTTTTATTTGATTTTAATTATTTTATTAGAATTAATTGAATTTTAATTAACTATTCTTTATATATAATAATTGAAAATAGCTGTTAATGTAAAACATAATGTGAGGTATTTATTTTGTCTATAGTTTCGAGCATAGATTTATAAATTAATTGTACAATGATCATTCGTACAATTTTTAAAATCAGTGTCCGTAAGGCTGGAGTAGTAGCGCTTATCATCGCATCGGAGGGGACCCGACATCTTAGGCCTTATAGTGCTGTTCACGTAAACCCATTTCAGACCACAGACACAGTTCACGTGATTTCCTACACAAACAATAAAACAGTAATTTATTTAATTAATAATAAAATTACAATCAAAACATGTTATAATTTTTTAATTTTAAAATAAACAAATTTTTAATTTAAACTACAATTACATTACCTTTAATAATAATCTTCGAGGGCTCGTAGCTTAACATATGGGCGAATGTATTGGCCGTTAATTGCGTTAAATTGTTGAAAGACAGGTCTAGAGTGACGGGTCGGTCGAGTCCGGCAAAGGCCTGGTCACCGATTTGGGCGATTTGGTTCAGTTTGAAGTTAATTTTTATGGGATTGTATTGCGAGCCGTTTACTGATTGCAGTGTAAATGAATTGTCCGCCAGTTTTGTCAATAAATTGTCGCTTAAATCCAACCAATTTAACCCATGAAGTGGTTTAAACGCATTTTTACCAAGGGTCTTCAGTTGGTTCCTGTCCAGAAGCACCATGGTCAACTGATGCTGGTTAGGCCCAAACGCATTATCTGCTATCTCCTCTAAATTATTACATTTAATTAATCAATATATTTAATTATTAATTAAAATAACTATTATTTTATTGATAAAAGTAGAGATAATTAAGTTAATTAAGTTTTATTGATTGTTGTGTTGGAAATAATCTCTAATAACTAAATTCAATTATTTAATCAATTGATAGAACTGTAAATTGTTATAAAGTATAGAAAAACTAAGAAATTATAAAAACTAATCAAATTATAAAATCTACAAAATAGTTGAAAATAATGTTAAAAATTGAGATCTCGATCGAAGAGATGATCGAAATGTTTGTTCAATACCTGATTGTCTGAGAGATCAACAGAAGTCAAGCGAACCAATTGTGAAATGGCTTTAAATAAGGATTCGCTGGACTTCAGTGAACACGAGCTGATCCGCAAAGATGTGGTCGTATTGACTGAACTGGCGAACGCATTCTCGCCCACCATGGTCAGTGTTTTCACATTGAACACGTTCATTGTTTTGAATGATACCTAATTGATAAATTAATTGTACAATAAAAT